CCTGATCGCGAGAGGCGACTGGTGGCGGAGAGATGGATGGAGAACGATTGACAAGGACTTGACAGATGCTTGATATGCACGGAAAATGCAGGTTCGACATTAGAAAGTTGGCTCTTTTTTTACACAGACGTTTCCTCGCCATAACTACGTGTTATCACCCCGGACACCTGCAGAAGATGAAGAAATTTGATAAAATACATTAACGGAATGGCAACTCCCAACACCGAGCAGTCAAGTACAGAAAATATCAGGGTCATGATGAGAAGAGACGATGAGGTGGATGTGGTGGAGGAGAAGGCGATGACGTTGGTAGTGGTGGCGGTGGTAGATGGCAGGTACTAAATGATATTGCCGGCCATGCCCATGAAGATGGCCTGTGCAGCGAGCTGGAGAGACCAAAGGCCGACCTTCTTGAAGCGTCGTGTCCGAGCCTGCTCGTCGACAACGTCTCGTGCAAAGGCATCGTATGTCTGTAAGAGGCCAGTTAGTTTGGGCTGCGTAGAAAGAAAGAGCAAGTATGTACACACCTCTGCAGAGAGATCGTCCATCAGTCCGCTGTCGAAGATGGTCCAGCTACCATCAAAGTCGCTGGCTCGCTTAACTAGCCGGCACTGGATGGGGATGAAAGTTCGTCGGCTGTTGATATACGCCACTATGGGCCTGATAAGGGCATTATTAACGTATGACAAGTCCCGGTTGAAAATAGGCACTACCGCGCGCACATTGTTCAAGTGTATGCGTAGGTCAGTGACCACAAATCGCTTGTTGTCTTCGTTCTTGGCCAGTGCGCTATCATTTGGATGGTATCGGTCGGCGGTAACAGTGGCTTCCATCCTATCGTAGAAATCGGACATGACCTTGCCCAGACTCTCGTCTGATTCAGCTGGGAGCATAAGGTCGGCAACGATGTCGACAGTGCCCTCATGGATCCATGAGAAGGGGCCTTGGACGCCCGTGTTGAGATGGTCGATGTTCAGACCGTCTATGCGGATCCGATTATGTTTCTTCCAGGGACTCCGGCCACCATCTTCTTCTAGACCGCCCTGTAGCTGGGCTCCTGTGTACCGATGTGTTTGGCGTGGGTGGATGGTGAATAGAGAATTATCATACGAACCAGACATCATGTTTGCAGACAGGAAGTCATACATGAGCCATTGTCGTCGTAGCCGTGGTAGGTCACATGAGAAGATGCTGAGGGTAAATGGCCGGAAGTTGTTAGGCTGGTATATAGTGACCAAGACGTCTTCCATCTTGAAAGAGTCCAGCTCAAAGTCCCCTGGGTTATGCTCTACCCGGTATGATTTGGGATCAATCTGAGCATCCGCTTCCGACCATTTGACATGCGTTCTGTCAACAATACCCCGAATGCCCTTGACATGTACATCTTTCAGCAGACCATGGCTATTAAACCATTTGGTAAAGGATAGCGTCACGTTGACCGTATCTATAGAGACATCGAATTGCGTGTAGTTTGAGTCCTCTGTCTCTTCATCATTCTGTTGGCGAGGGTGGTCCATCTCCTGAAATGCGGCGGCGGCAACTGTCTTGGACGATCCTTTGCTCACATTCCCCTTTCCTTGGCCTGGTCTGCGGGAGACAAACACGTTCTTGAAGGTTATCACTCCGTCACCCCATTTGGGCACAATTGCCGATTCAAAGACAACCTTCACTCCGGATGATCGAGTTAGATAGTTACCGATCCATCTTGCAAGAGTTTCTAACAGCTGTCAGTAACGGTGTTTTCTTCTTCATGGAATTGATGAATAACTCACCCTGCGCAAAAACGGTATTGATAGTAAATATGAGGAGTGAGAAGAAGGTCGTCGTCCCCAGTATAATCCACAATACATGCCCAAGTAGAACCCATGAAAAAAAAGTACTAATTTCGTCAACATTAAAGGGCCGGACACTCCTGATGGAAAACCACTTGAATCGCACTTTCAGCCGCGACCGGAATCCCGTGGCGGCAGCTAGAAGCTCTTCCTTAGTAGGCCGATGCATATGCGGTAGCCGGTCCATCAGATGGTATCGACCATGTCCTCCATCAGTCTTTGGAGGTCCAGCTGGAGTCTCTGGCCCAGGAACCGGTTTAGATGCTTCTGCATTCACGTTGGATGCCTCTGATGGTTGTTGTCTTCTCGTTTCTGGCGTATGCTCCTTTTCGCCTCCCTCCTTCGATGTATGCAGAGACCGTCTCCATCCCCAGCTGGCAGCACTCTGAAGTCCTAGGCCGTTCAAATTGTTTCCAAATCTCCTGCAGCCATGGTAAACACTCTTCTCTGTCGACGCAGCTGCACAAGCTGCCGCTCCCGTCTCTACCGTAGCTGCACTCCTCGTGGACGTTGTACCAACCACCAACAATCCGCCTGATGCAAACTGGCGACTGACTTTCCTCACATTATTCGGTCTCGAGCTCGAAAATCGCCGTATCGTCCGACTCCGAAACAGATTGAAGCTGGAAGCCGAGCCATGGCAGTTCTCTGTAAAGGGACCGAGAGCACCCTGTCGGCCGGGCTGGAGGAAGCTGGACTGGAAGCCGGAGGTGAAGCTGGTGCGCAGTGTCGAGAACAGCCGTCGTCCTATATGTCCTGACATGTCTCCTCTGGCATCATGAACGGCCCTAAGAAGCTTCTCTGATGCCTCCTTGCTCAAATTGATGCTTCTGGTCTTCCGTCAACAGCTGAAGCAAAAAATGCCGTCCAAGAAATTTTATACGTCAAGCTTCCGCAGGTTTTTCGATAAGATTGCGAAGTTTGTCTTGTTTGCATCGCGGATTTTCCCACCATCGAAAGAATATCATTTTTATCGCAACTTCAGCATCTCGATCGACGGTAACTCGACCACGGCCTGCGCTTAGTATTTGATTTGAAGATAGCCCGACGGTAATAGACATACCGGAACCATGCCAGCTCCCACCGCGCGCCTGGACAAGCCAGAGGAGAATGAGGTTTCTGCTCTACAGCCAGCCCAAAGTTTGTTCTCCCAGAAATTTCTTATCAGCAATGATGTGATGAAGGTGCAGACAGATACTGATGATATGGTGCAGATGAAGAGGATATCATGATAGATACAAGCGGTGCTCAACCGGAGGAGCCATCGGCACCGCAGACACAGGGACAGGAAGACAGTGAAATGGCTGTAGACGAGGAAGGACGACTGCGCTTCACACCCATCAAAGCATCCGGCAACGCATACAGAGTCGAAACTCGCAAAGTACCGATCCCTCCTCACCGCCTGACACCTCTCAAAGCCGAGTGGCCAAAGATATATCCTCCACTGGTCGAGCATCTGAAGCTCCAGGTGCGCATGAACATGAAGAACCGAGCAGTTGAGCTGCGCACATCGAAACACACGACCGATACAGGAGCCCTCCAAAAGGGTGAGGATTTTGTCAAAGCTTTTACTCTTGGGTTTGATACCGATGATGCTATTGCTCTTCTCCGACTGGACGATCTTTACATTGAGACGTTTGAGATTAAGGATGTCAAGACCCTTAATGGCGAACATTTGGGCAGAGCTATTGGCCGAATAGCAGGAAAAGACGGGAAGACGAAATTCGCTATTGAGAACGCTAGCAGGACTAGAGTTGTGCTTGCAGACCAGAAGATACACATCCTCGGAGGATTCAGAAATATCCATGTTGCTAGAGAAGCTATTGTCAGCTTGATCCTAGGAAGCCCTCCGGTAAGTTTGTCTTCCCCCTATAGATTTACTTTGTTCATGACTAACGCTTGCATAGGGCAAGGTATATGGAAATCTACGTACAGTTGCCTCGCGAATGAAGGAACGATTTTAAAAGTAACTCATGATATTCGGTCTCATGTCGGCGTTTTGGCTCTGCATTTTGAATGCTATTATTCGGTGTTAATTCTTTCTTTTTTTTACCTTTTATGATGCGGAATATATGGGCCTGGGAGCGAATACCTATATTATGGGATTTAGACAAAAGAAGTTCAATCGTGCCTCGGATATAGGAGAATATTAAGAGATGCATTGATACCAGATTAAAACTTCATCATTTAAGCGTGCGTCAGAGAAAGATGCGCTGGTAATATCGTCTATGAAAACATACTTAATCCCGCTTGAGTGGGCGGTACACCTCCTCTATACCATCCTTGGTGACAATCATCATCTGCAGCCCATCTCCAACCTCAATATGTCTCTCCACAGAACTAGTGAATGCATCATGTACTAGCTGCTGTGCACCCTCTCTGGAAAGAGGTTCGGGCTTCCTGGCCACAGATGCGTTACCCTGACCGCTGCCGGGAACATATTGGTTTTTGAAATTGACCTGGTTGTCCAAGAAAGGCATCATCAAACTAGCCGCCGACCCAGCCGCTCTGCAGAACTCCCTCTCATACGAACCCACAGGGTCATAGCTGTACAAAGCTCCCTTGCCCTCTTCATCAACTCCAGCCAGAATAGCATGTACGTAGTATGGGAAAAACCGTTTTGAATATAGGATCGTGGATAGACGCTGTGCACACGCTCTAACGGACATTGGTTTGTTGTGGTGGTATTCATACATCTTGACGATGGCGTCGAGTCGTTCCTTGAGAGCTCGGCCGTCGGCAGAGAAGCCAACGACACAGAGAATAATGTGGCCGCCTTCTCCGGTGTGCTCGTCTGCGCCGATCTTGAATACCTTGGGTGCATATCTGGTGTTGATGTTGTACCCAGAGACTGATCGTGTGTCGCCTGCTAGGATAGCGAAATTGTCACCGGCTATGCCGAGCGTAGAGCCACCATTGTCCGTGTATCTAACCAAAGACGCGGATTAGTCCTCGGTATAGCGTACTACTATGTTGCAGGTGAAAACTTACGGGTAGAAGCTGTGCTGTTTGGCGCCGCTTGACTGCTCTGAGAAAGAGTACCCAACAGGCTGGCTGTGAGGGTCTGGGTGGGTTAATAGCGAGTTCATCCTGAGTGGTCGAGCTGCTATACGGCCAAAAACAACACGTTTATCAAGAGTCAAAGATGAGAATAAGCCGGGTATCGCTTTGTGGGTTGCACTGTTGGCCGTTGACTGTTGACTGTTGGTATGTTGACTTGGCTCTGCTTGAAGCTCTTCAAAGCTCGACGAACGCAAGCTGGAGTTGCCTGGATTACATAAGCCACTCCTCTCCTACTTTGCGCCGAACCGGGAGGAGAAGAAACAACAAGCTGGACAGGACACAGTCAAGTTGCTACAGCTACTGCGGGCCTACCTGTTGGCGTTTGTTCGTGGAGTGATGCTTGGGTTAGGCTCATACGAAAGCAGCAGTGAGGATGAGAGCACCAAAGACACAACTGTTGGTGTAAAGTCCGCACTAGCGGTTGACCAGAAGAAACAGGGTGACGGCTTGCTTGAAGCAAAGACTCTGTCTAAAGAGCCCGTTGAGGATACGCAGAATGAAGCAACAGGTCAGTCAGACTTATTATCACATTGATGCCGTGGACAATCCTTCTCACAGTTGTGTAGGACCTAGTATACCATCTACCGAACCTGTGGACGATTCTACCAAACCTATAGTTGGGCCTTTACCACCCGCCGACTATACACCACAGCTGTCAGAAGAAACCACACAATCCGACAAACCATCGTCTTTTATTTCCATTGGCGCACTACGACGAGACATGACGCTGCCTCCGTTTCCAAATCTCGACATTCCCCCGTCTCCTCCCGGGTCACCCAATCCCGAAATGAATAAGAAATTCGAACATTTCCTATCCCTAAAGAAACAGGGCGCTCACTTTAACGAGAAGCTGGCTTCTTCTTCATCACTTAAAAATCCAAATTTACTTCAGAGTCTGATGAAGCATGCCGGGCTAGACGAAAGGGCGCAATATGGTACCTCTTTGCCCGCAGAAATATGGGATGTTACGAGTCTCCCGTCATGGGCTTACAAAGATGAGCTGTCAAAGAGCCAGCAGAGCATACGCCGCAAGCTGGAAGAGAAGAAGACTGACCGTGATGCAATCGAATTTGTCTCTGGGTCTGGGAACGGCACCCCCGCGAGTGGCAGATTAAAGTCTAGCGCGGCTGAGCGGGTCATGGCTGGTCTCAGTCGAGAACCATCTCCGCTTAAGCTGGACCAGAGCAAGCGAAATGATCAGGATAAACGACAGAGACGGGTGGATTTGGAATACAGAAGACATCGTTCGCGGTCACCGGGGAAAAGGAAACGATCTAGGTCTCGATAGGATGCATTCTTTATATTTGAGCATTAGGGAGGAGTTTGGGCGTAACTGGAGAAATAAAATATACCCGGGATAGACAGACTTTACAAAGTCACTTACATGCTATTGTACAAATTACTATCATTTGTAGTTCCTCCCATCTTTCTGACAGTAGAATCACCCATTGGCGTTGCTGATACTTTAGCTAACTGGCGAGGCGACATGTTTGCCTTGTTTGTCTTCTAGGCTGCGCTTATGTCGCAAGCTCACCAAAAACCTCCAAGCTGCATCAACAACAGACAACATCCAGCAACAAGCCACGGCCTGACCCAACGATAGGCGGATCTGTCTCTGACTCTTTCCGCAGTTACTCGGCTCCGTATTTATTTGTCTCCTTTTTCATTACGAAGTCTTGACCCAACTATCCATCATGAACCACTTTCCAGAAGTCTGGGGTCGGGTGAGCACGAAGACATACAACCCGCCATCAGCTTCGTTTAGCTAACTACTGATTTGCTGTAGCCGCGAGACGATGTGTACGGGGCCTATGATCACTCATATCTCCAGACGTCCGGCCCAACGACCCATACCCAGCGTCCAATCGTGACAGGAACCTCCGTTATTGCTGTCAAGTTCAAGGACGGCGTCGTTATAGCGTCGGACAACTTGGGTGAGCTATCCACGGCATATAGCATGTCGCGGTATTTAACTGTACTAATATAAATGTGCCAGGCTCCTATGGTTCTCTTGCCAGATTTACCGACTTGAAGCGTCTCCGGGCCTTTGACAACTCTTCCGTAGTTGGATTTGGTGGTGACGTCTCTGATATGCAGTATATCGACCGCGTCTTGAACTCCCTAGACATACAAGAAAACTATTCTACGTACGGAGAGCATTCTCTCAACGCCAAAAACCTGCACACATATTTGTCTAAACTGCTTTACCAGCGACGATCCAAGTTTGACCCCCTCTGGAACCATATCCTTGTTGCCGGACTCGACGATGAGGGCAAGCCATTCCTCAGTTCCGCAGACTTGCTAGGAACAACTTACTCCGCACCAGCCCTTGCTACAGGGTTCGGAGCCCACTTGGCTGTGCCTATTCTCCGCCGATTGTTCCCAGAGGAAAATGGGATAGACAACATCACGAAGGAACAGGCTGTTGATGCTATGAAGCAATGCATGAGGGTTCTTTTCTACAGAGATGCTAGAAGTTCAGACAGATATTCTATTGCAGTTGTTACCAAGGAAGGCGTGGAGCTTAAGGAGAACGAAGCTCTGGAGAACCAGAGCTGGGCTTTTGCTGACAGGATCAGAGGCTATGGCACCCAAGTCAACTAAGCATGACCAGTTCTTTTTCAATTTCAATTTGGTACTGCTTAGTGTTTCTCAGCCAACCCTGAGATAGACGTTGCAATTATATCCAAGAATTAAATCGTAATGACCCCCCATATTGATGCTTCCAACTGCATGGCATAGCTATAACTTAGAGGAGCCATTGACATGGACAACCTTGTTACTGCATGATCCAACATTTTCAAGCGATACCTCCACTCTGTCCCCATCTTTTAGCCAAACCTGAGGCTTTCTACCCATTCCAACCCCCTGAGGGCTGCAGTATAATTGTATGTTAGTAACCCACGCCGGAGTACCGAAGGTATTGCAGCACTTACGTTCCAGTAAATATAATATCACCAGGCAATAGTGTAGTTCCCTGCGATAGGAAAGCAACCGTCTCTGCTACCCCAAATATCATATCCTTTGTATTTGAGTTTTGCACGGCTTTACCATTCACCTTCGTTGATATCTGCAGTGCGTTTGGGTCTGGAATTATCTTTGAAGTCACTATTCCAGGACCAAAGGGAGCCCAGCCATCAAAACCCTTGCCTATACCCCATTGGCTTCCGCCACGTTTTATCTGCCATTCTCGATGGGACACATCGTTGCCCACTGAATAACCCAGCACATACTCAAGTGCCTTCGACTTCGGTACATTATGAGCCTCTTTCCCAATGATGATCAGCAACTCACATTCATAGTCCAACCCTTCGCATTCCTGGGCCATTGGATGGACGGGTATATCATCCGTCGGCCCACTAGCTGCTGTGACAGGCTTGAAGAAAAGGATTGGGTATTTGGGTAGAGGCATGTTCGATTCCTTTGCATGTTCAGCATAGTTCAAGCCCAGGCATCGTATGGTCTTGATATCTTTCCGAGCCAGTGGACAGAGCAACTTCTTCACTTCCTGGACTTGATCTGTGACCTGGTGATTGCCGAAGATTTCTCCTTTGATGACTCTGGCTTTGGTAGTTTTGGCAAGGTCACTAACACCGGAAGGAAGAATGGCATCTCCATGGTAGACCAGGCCGTCTTTGGCCAGGAAACGAACAAGGCGCTGATGAGACAAAATTAGTTCAATATTGTCCTATCATAGATGATGGGCTCTCTTACGGAGAATGCAGGCATCTTTTCCTCTTTACACTAGGTCTCTTATCGATATATCGCCTTCATTAAATGGAGTAAGTCTATCAACAGCCTAGTCATGGCGATTCAGCCGAATTGCCGGACAACTTGGATTACTAATCTCCACCGGTGCCTGTTCTGGACTAGTTAGGAAAATTGTACTCCCGAGCTGAAAATCAACAGGCCCGATCTGCAGGTGACCGGCGCAGTTCATGGACGTGTACTTCGTACAAACGGATTTCGATATTGGCTAGGAGGCCCGGAAGGAAGCAAGAGGAAAGGGTGCGTTCTTAAGTATGGGGCAGATACGATTCTCAGGGCTACAACGAGAGGTCCTGAGTTTGTACCGCCAGTGCTTCAGAGAAATTCGCAAAAAGCCTATTGTGAGTGCAGTTTATTTGTTTCACGGTCCATCAAAATCCAACAGCTAGTTAATTGATCGTATAATAGAATTCCCAGAGTAACTTCAAACAATTGGCCAGGTATGCGCTTTCCGTGACTATGTTGGGAGGACCACGTACACCACAGGCGACTTCATCCATAACCGCATTCATTTGCACCCATGAGACATCGAATACCCAACCTCGTTCAGCAAGCTAACGGAAAAATAGGGATGAATTCCGAAAAAATCAAGCCATAAGTAAAAAGGATTTTGCCGCCATCGAATTTTTGCTGAGGAAAGGTCACCGCCAGGTGGAGATGTATTCTTCGCCAGCCATCCGAAACGTTACAAGGTGATACCCTCTTCGACAAAGAAGACGGCCTTCAAGGAAAATCGAAGCTCTAGCCAGAGGGGTACATGGCACATACATATCGCCTACTGGATTCCGTCTGCATCTCTAATAACCTTGATCGAAATAATTTTATATCACGTGACTTTCATCGGAAACAAGCTTATCCGATAAACTTTCAATGATGGAACGTGCACGAAGCTTCTAGAAGCTTGGCGAATCTTGGCGAAGAAACTGGCGAAATCGAGAAGAAACTCGAAGGTTCAGGCAGCATCAAGGAGCCTCGAGCATCATGAAGCAGCCTGGAGATGATTGTTAATGTGAAGGCGATCTACAAGGATCGCGTAGCTTCTAGGACAATGGCTTCGGTCTATATAAACAACCAACTTGTCGATGAGAATCGATCTTCCTTTCTCATCACAGACAATCAGAACAACTCGACTTCTCTATGCTATTTAAGAACAACAGCCTTCAATCCACTCTGAGAAACATTCAAACTCCAAAGACTACTCTTTACAAAGTCAACAAGATTCCATCTTCAAGAAACATTATCAACACCACTCTATCAAACTACCACAACAACAAAATGGCCTTCTTCCCACGTCTCTCTGGTGGTGAATTCACCCCCCTTTTCCGTCTTCTTGACGACTATGATGCCCACCGTGCTTGTGCATCTGAGACCAACATCGCTCGCTCCTTTGCTCCAAAGTTCGATGTGAGGGAGTGCAAGGATGGGTACCATCTTGACGGAGAAACTCCCGGTGTCAGCCAGAAGGATATTGAGATTGAATTCACCGATCCTCAAACACTCGTTGTTCGCGGCAAAACCAAGCGCGAGTACACTTCCACCAACATGAACAACAACGCTATCGAAGAGGCTCCAACTCCTGCAGCTATCGAAGATGAGCCGGAGTCTTCCAGACGCAACTCCCACCAAGCCACTGTTGAAGATGAGGAGCCAGCCACTACTTCTCGCCCTGCCTCTCCCGCTAGGGACAACAAAGTCACCAAGGCTAGCAACAACTCCGTCAAGAAAGCTGATGCACCTTCCTTCAAGTACTGGATGACCGAACGCTCTGTTGGCGAGTTCAACCGGGTCTTCAAGTTCCCATCCCGAGTCGACCAGGATGCAGTCAGTGCTAGCCTGAAGGATGGTATCCTCTCCATCAAGGTGCCCAAGGCAGCTCCACCAACTCTCAAGAAGATCAACATTGCGTGAATGAGAAATGAGGACCAATATGTCTTGTCCTTTTAATGATGCATGTGACTTTACGAATGATCCTGCGCATTTTATGATGGTTATGGGAAATTGATGAGTCTGGCGCATTCCGACTTTTTCTTTCGCAGTTCTGTATTCTAATTTGACGTTGTGGCTTTGTTTCCTTGGTGCTTTCTATGACACTGTATTTATTATAGCCAGCCTCTTACCAGTCTTTACATTAATAATTCACATACTTATCTTTTAACAACTTTTCCATTCCTCAGATTATCAGAACCAAAGTACACTTATATTCATACAGTTATTTATCCTATGCTATCGTATAATGTAGCGGGTAGTTTCCCGAAGCTATGTGCTCTGCCAACATTACGGCAGGGAGGATTGTACATATCCCCGAAAATTAAAGAAATCGATGAATGACTCAGTAAAATAGCCAATGCAGTTGAATACTTCAAAATTTTGAATAGAAGGCAATAAATCAAATACAATTCCACCCAACCAACCGGCCAACCATCCACAACATGTCCGCTAAAAAGGCAAAATACTAATGAATAAATAAAAACATTAAGAAAATAAGGCATGCAGCCTGTAAAGGATTGGTTGAGGTGTCATTAAATTCGTGACATGGAATATCACATTAACGTAAGACATAAGGACAAACGATCGTCTGCTGGGTATATATAGAGCGAGTGTAGCAGCTGGGTATTGTATATTCAGCGAGGGTCATATAAGCAACGTCATGGACGAGTAAAATTTTGCACAAGTTAAAAAAGAGTATATGCATGCTTTTAAGCCTTGGTGAAATAGGGATGCTTTAAATGGAATGGAAGTTGGTATCAGAAGATAGAAAGAAGGGAAGAAGAATGCGAAAGAGGTGTTAATCAAAGATAACTTTCAATATGGTTGAGCGCACCCGGTTTCTGATGCGCCAGAGCCATTTGCGCAGCACAAGTTGTCGATGGGGCGCCGGGTAGGTGACTTGAGCGCCTCTCAGTCACAGTTGATTTAAGCTGGGAGAAGCGGTATGATGTTGGTGGTGTGGATTGATATTTCGCTTTCCGAGACTTGCGATCGAAGAAGACATCACGGACCGGCGATGGTGGGAAAGTGGAGTATCGACCGCTTGGCTTTTGATTGATAGACGAAGAGAAGCTGAAATGTGATGCGCTCCTATGGAGTTTTTTGGGTTGCCGAGTTGTAGCTGTAGACTGGTTGATCGATTCCTGAAGGGATTTCCTAGGTTGGTAGTTGTCGAGAGCAGACTTGTTAAGGTCTAGATTTAGCGGGAGGAGTTCCAGGTCTAGTTCTGGGTCAGTGGAGAGGGATCCCCACAAGTTGTTGTCTATTTTAACAGGGGTGTGGTTATCGATATAGTTTATCAGGTCTGCAGGACTGGTGTCGGTAAGCAGCTTCAGGTCGCCCATCGAAGTTGAGCGCGATAGTGGCGGGGTGAGCATCTGGGCTTCGGGAAAGCGAGGATGACCAGGCGGTGGGAGAGCCGGAAGAGGTTTGTCTTTGTTAATACCCTTTGACGGCCTCGAAGAGGTGGCATCTGAAGCCGATCTTGCGTGGACATGGGGGGCAGTGGGTGGTTTTCCTCCTGTCATCCGGGCGGGAGTCGAGTCTCGATACCTCCTATTAGGTCGTTTAGTTGTGCTGCTCTTGGGTGGGTTACTCTTGGTCATATTGCTAGCAGACGCATGGGACTTGGTTGTATGTTCCTTGCTAGAGTAGCTCTTGTGGGAACTCCCCTTAGCATGGCTTCTAGCATGGCTTCTTGACGACCGTTCATTATTAGAACTTCTATGGGTACGATCCTTAGGGGAGGGTTCCCTAGGAGAAATGCACTTGGGAGAAATTTCAATAGCAAGGCCCACAGGAGAAGGAATCTTACACTGAGTATGTTGACTATCCGCAGGCCGGGGGCGGGAAACCTGCATAGACTGACGGAACCGTGGTGGTATAGGCGGTGGACGAGAGGGTTCAAATTTGGCTCTGACGGGGTATGTTGGGTCCAGGTTATATTCAGACATGGAATCTGCTTTATTTTCATAAGTAGGTTCCTGAGGCTGCTGCTTGGGCCGAATCTCTTGGCTTGTATAAGGCTCAACCGGGTATCTAAGATGGGCTGGAGGCCAGGGGAAGACAGCGTTGATAATCTCCTTGTCTCCATGAGAAGTGATTGAGATTGTGCCCTCGACTGGATCATTAATACCTCCGTCACAGTGGATGAGCGCCTGATTCGAGTCTCCATCGAACAAGCGACCGTTTCTATCCCTCGAGTTCCTCTGTCGTGACGATGTGTAGCGGTGTCTGGAGGCTGACTTTCCCGAGGCGGAGCTGTATCCGCTGTCGGTCTTGTTCAGAGCACCAGAGCGCTTACTAGACTCCAGCTTCGTCGTCTCTTGGCGTTCTTTGCTCAGGGACGAGTGGAAATGGGGATCGTGGAAGCTCTCGTGGGATTGGACGGTATCATCCCAGAAGACAGGAATCTCCATTCCTTCATCTTCAAAGAGGTTGTCATCGTGTTCAGTTTGCTTCGTGGTTGTCACCAACATAGGCGTAGGCTGGACAGATGGCGGAGTCAGTGGTCTGAGATGAGCCGAATCCGGGCTTCCGAAACCCGCTGGCGAAGTAGGGCAGTCATCGAACCAGGAGACACTTGGTCTTCGAGAGGTCACCAAAGGAGTGAGCTTTGGCTTAGACCGAGGGGATGACTGGGTAGCGAACTCTGGGAGGTGTTGGGCTTCGACCGCGCCCTCCGAACGACGTATGTTCAGCCTGGAGGACGACCTCTTTGGGATAGGAGGAGGAGGAGTAGCAATAGCAGGCATGGTAACAGGCTCTTCAGCTCTAACCATGACTGTCTCCATCTCTGGCAGTGGTTCTTGCACTTGCTCTGTCTCCGTCTCTGGTTTAGAGTCCAACTGCTCTATGGCATTCAAGTCTGGATAAGACCTTTGTTTCTTGCTGCTAGGTGCTGGCGAGGCGCAGCCGTTTACAACATGGAGAGAGCCAAACTTGAAGGTTCCTAGGTGCGTATAGCCTTGTTCGCTCGGACTGATAGCTCGAGCTGGGGAGGCAGATCTTGGTCTTGGATAGGCAGCAGAGGTGGTAGTCGTAGCGGCAGTATCAGTAGCAGCACCAACGTCAGTCCAACTTCTTCGCAGCGGTTCTGGGTTAGACTTATAGTGGAAGACGGAGTCGTCCTGATGAGAGGTGTGTTGCCTTGACTTGCTGAAGAGCGGGAATCTAGTCGAGATATTAAATGACCGTCGGCGGGCTGAGACTAAACGAGGCTGTCCTGACGGAGGATTCTGGGGCGACGGCATCGGCGCATCAGTATTACCATGATGACCACCAACAGCAGCGGCGGCAGTAGAACCACCGCCAATGAGTCCCAGGCCAACAAGAGCTGGCGACGCTGGATCTGGTGCCCGCGGATGGCTGACTGCAGCAGAGGCAGCATTATTATCTCCGTTTGAAGTGAGAGACAAACGACGCTGGAAGTTAGATTTTGACCGAGAAAAACGGCGTTTAAAGCCATCCATCTTGGTTGATATGGGCGAGCGAGGTTCTTCTTCTACCGCCGGAGACGCTCCTGATGATGCTGGCGATGCGCTGTTCTTCACGCTCATGCGACCGAGGAGCTGTCGTCTGAATTCAAAGAACTCCTCGAGCGGCGTAGACGGTGTTTGGTACGGGTCTGGCACCGCATAGTCTATACACCACTGGCATTGGCAAGGCTGTGGCTGCCCTTCAACCGGCGACTTGTTGGGTACATCCTGCGACGTCTTCCCTGAAGATTCCGGAGCTCCCGCAGCTGCTGCGGCTACCAGAGACGTTGAAGATGCTAAAGCTGCTGCAGACAATGGCCTTGATAGACGATTGTGGTGGTGTTTTGACTGTGTATTTCCCATCTTCCTCCAACTCTGATGTTGCTGCGGCAGCTAGTTACCTGCTGGTCTCCGTGGACAAACGGGCAGCTCGCCCTTCTCTCGTATCAATTGATGGAGCGAGGAAAAAAAGAGGGAGCATCGAGCATCCAGAAAGAGAGAGCTCTCCCAATAATAACAGCTCCCCGAAGCTCCCTGAGCTCCCAAAGCTCCTTTTCGTCCCCTCTCGTTCAGATCCTCCAGGGCCTGGCCAGGGTGGAAGGAAACCAAATTAGACTGAAATTAGCCTAGCAGAATCCCTACCTATACAACGGTTCATAGCAACGAAGGATCAAGCCGGCGAAGAGGAAGCAGACAGACGCCGTGAGAAGAAGAAAGACGAAGACCAACAGGACGGGTGACGGCGAGGGATAATTAAGGTCGATATCCCTCAGGCGAGGCGTGCTCCCTGTCCGCCACTGGCATCGACAGGTGTCCCTTTTTTTTGTCTTCCTCCCTGCAGGCGAAGCTGTCTATCAAAGATGCAGCCGGCGCCTATCGCTCTATCGTTCTCTTCCTACTCATGCGATCTGAAACTCCCCGCATAAAGAAGAAGAAAAGAAGGTAAACACGTTTAAAACCCGGCAGCTATCAGCGAATGAAGCACCGACAAGCTGCGGAATATATAACTCGCAGCAAGGGGGGGCAAAGGGGGTGTTGGGGGCCGTCATGCTCGCTGTCACCAAGTCCAACTTCCTGCTGTCAAGATGTCCAAGGTTCGCCATGGTGCAACTTAGAATGGGAAAAGGGAGAGCTTCCCGTCACACAGCAAGGCATGGGTTGACGTTTGTTGCTGTCGAGTTGTCAAGAGTTGCCTCTGGGCGAGACGTGGATAACTATGATGTTATGCTTAACCAGCTTCTTCATGCCTGGTCGGGAGAAAAGCTTGAGGCTGGGCGACTTCGCCCCGTACTTAATACAGCTTGGCTGTCTCGTCCAGCTTCTGATAGTTGAGCATATATTCTGTTCTGTCGATGGAGCGTATACAAAAGGCCTGGATGTTCATGATCTCATTCTCATATGATGATCCTGATCCCCAGCTAACTACTGTTTGTTACTTGGATAGTTACTTCGCCGGGGGGGAGGGTGAGAGCCTAATGAACTGTCGTAGCAGTAGCTAGCCGCTGTCGTTGTTGGCCCCTATTCCTCCACAGATGGAGACGGCTTACACTGACTTTTTTTGGCCATAGCTGACAGTCCTAGCCGCCGTGAGACGAGTGCTTTCACCTCAATATTATCTGTGCCAGGAGGACGAAGAGACTCACATGTGTTGATAGGCGTGGATCGCTGGGTTGCGCAAGTCCCGTCGTATCTTGTCACACAGCTCTCTCGTCTCTTAATTGACCACGAACCAGTCTCGGTGCCATATCGGGAGAGGAGAATGAGGAGAGATCAAAAGACTCCTGCGAACAGCAGATTCGCCCAGCTGTCCAACCCTTTCCCCCCATCCTACTTAGTTGATTCGCTTCGCAATTGTATGAAGCTGGTTATCCGGCTGGTAGCTTCAGGATGGACCGAAGGCCAAGGCGGCCGCGAGCTCCACACAGAATAATTCAATGCTTCATCGAGGAAACAAGAGGCAGCTAATATCTGATCCATAGTATCATAGTTGTCGTTTCTATTCATGGCCCATATTTATAGAGGAACACCTCAGAGAGCGCCGGTTTCACAGGTAACCTCTTTAGCTCTTTTAGGTAAAATTAACTAGTCAACGGTGATATCCGTGCTGATGATATGTTTGTCTCCGTCGAAAAGTAGCAGCTACTTAGTTAGATGCTGAATAACTGTTGTCGAACCGAGTTTCAATCGTTCTGAACTCATTGAAACGCCTCCTCTCTGATAGCTATCGATGGTTGAAATTTTCTTCAAGGAGGCGACAACTTAACCTGGTCGTGTAGGAGTTGAAGCTGCTAGTCAGTTATCCAAAGCTTTAGCCATCCTACAAGTTTGCTCTCCATGACGTTGTCGCTTGTCATGAATCTGACGTCCTTGGAGGCGTTGGTTCCAGAATTTCAGAAGAATTGTTTGAAGTAGACCTATTGCTGGCTTCATCATAGCTTAGCTACTCACTGAGTGTATGATCGAGCACTGCATTATATGGGCAATAAATATCCGATTTGTTGGTAGAGATAACATCATGGTGGCGACCACTGCATGTTCAGTCCATCATCGCATACGGAGTAGCCCGCGACGACTCCTCTGGCACGGAGGACGGCTTTTGATATCATTGCCATCGCCTGCCATGGTCACCATCGCTGTGAAGCTACGGCGAAGCGTCGAGTTCAGGCTCGATAGCAGTCTCTAACTGCACAACAGCGATGTTTCCCTGTTGTTGTTTAAAGACCAAAAAACTCGTTATTTAAATGGCCACCCACATGACTTTTTTCACTGATCGATGCCCTTCTATGCCATGGAGTACTCCGTAGTTAACAAGCCAGCCTTTTTCTTTGCCATTCTCTGCTTCGTTGAGCGTTAGAATGTTCTGTGCCATCAGAACTGATCTGGTGCTTCAACCTTCCCGTACTTTGCAGGCAGTTATATATGCTCACGCTTATATCCTGCAAACCGGATATATATACCCCGTACGGAGAATGGCATGCTTGTTCCCACCAGCCTAGATCAAGGACCTCGCTCCGTATCCGATTTTTGAGCCGTATTTGGGATGCGACACCTCCCCCTGGTCCACCCGGCTGCCCGGTTAAGCGTCCAGCCCGAGATAGTTACCCCATGACAGTGTTTAATCAGGCGCTAAACACCCTTGAGTGTTTCCGGGACCTTTCCCCGTAATCTTAGCGAAGCAAGCGGTGAAGATGTTTACTCCCGTCTGATGTCTGATGGTGTACAGCAGAGGGCTGAGATACATACAGCCAGCTCATGCAGCGGAAAAATGCATGCTGGCACCACTTCGGCCATCAGGGATCGTCAGGCCAAGATCATGCATGATCATAATAGTACCCCGTATTGCCTGGAAGAGGCTGTCCACTATGTAGATAGCGTGACAGATACATGGACTGCCAATACTGCCTTAAATATTTGGCTGTCCGTTGGATCTATCCTATTTTCCTTCCTTCATCCTCCTCGCATCACCCCCTTATGTTCGAGGGTGACCGTCACGACGAGGACCGCTGTGTGCTCGCTGCTGGAGATGCATGCTGTCAGGTTATTCAATTAACTTGAACGCATAGGCCTTCGTTTCTCCTTATTTACTCTCATCAGGTGAAACTAGTTGGAGTTTTTCCCGATGTCGCAATCATCGAATGTGATAACCACCCTGGCGGATAATGCTGATATCTCGATATCAGACGAGGGTACCATCTGGTACGTTGATTCTTTTGTCTTCATATTGTATAACCATGAAGTCGTGTTGACCTCTTATCCAGGTACTGGGTTGTCACAGGCATCTTCTCCCTCTCTGCCGTTGCTTTTCTAGTTGGCAGCTTCGTCGTCCGCAACCCAAATGTTCGACTTCAATACTACCTCTCGGCGCTCTCGAGCTATATCCTCTCCATGGCATATTTCGCCATGGGCGCCAATCTCGGATGGGTAGCAGTCGAGGTTGAATTCCGTCGAGTGGGCCAGTTCGTCGTCATCGATAATGGAACCGAGAATCCTACTCGACAAGTCTTCTGGATCCGCTATGCTGGCTGGTGAGAACGTCCTTTCCAACAAGATAGATACCAGCAACCTAGTTAGTTACCTTCACCTGCTAACAGGTCATCATCCAGGCTGCTCGCAACACCCCTCCTGATGACGCAGTTGCTCCTGCTAATAAAAGCTCCGTTGAAACTCATCCTCCACGAAGTCTTCATGGTAAGCATAGTGATGATGACCGGCCTTGGAGCTGCCCTGATACCCAACGCGTACAAGTGGGCGTACTTGTAAGTTGTTCCCTGTCCATCCCGGTGCCTGTATTGCCTTTGATTCTGACGCAGCTATCAGTGTCTATGGCTTCTTTGCATGTGCTGCCCTCGGCTGGACGATGCTGAAGTCCGGTTACAACCACGTACGCGCAACAACGCCCTCTTTGAAACGGGTGTATCTCATGTTCTGCATTGCAGTATCGATAATATTCCTGTTGTATGGCTTAGCATGGGGCATGAACGAGGGAGGCAACTTCATGTCTCCTACTGGTGAAGCAGTCTTCTATGGCATTCTTGATATATGGGGAGGACCGCTTTACTGTGTGTTTCTTCTATGGGCGGCTCATCGGTATTATCGAACGGAAATGCTGCAGCTTCCCATCTAAAGGTTGCCATTGTTATATCGCGATCCGAAATAGATAGATAGAACCAATTTAAATGGCTATTCGTTCACTGCTTGTTCCCTTTATGCGCTTTCAGTAAAACCGTGGTGGATGATGAGAGGTTGATTGACGTTGAAATAAGGTCAATAACTTTTTGTCTTTGTCGTGGCTGAAAACTTCCGCTCGGCTATCTAACCGCATGCCAGTGACCTTTCTATACATAACTCGTTTCGAGAGGAATATGTATGACATGTCGAGCATTCTACAGAGTACCATGGACGATACACTAAGTAATCCGGGTCTGTAGCCATCTACGGAGTCACCATGTTATCATCAGCTTGCTATAGGATCTACCTCAGAGTTACCTTGTCAATAGTCGCCATGCCAACGGTCTAGTCCAGTCCATGACTACCTTTACAGGACCGCAATTTAAATGACTTCGTGTTCATTTCATGCCGTTTTCGGTCGCTGTGATGGGGTAGAATCCTGGTATTCAGGGAACAGGGGAATAGAGAGGATACAGGTTATATCCTAATAATTATAGCTTGGGCATGAAGTTTTTTTTTAATAGCGGTATCTCTGTTGTCTGAATGGAAGAGGTACGGACAAAATAGGTTCAATAATGCCTGTACCAACAGTAAAAGCAGCTCCCGAGATCCATACTTCTTGCGTAAAGTCTAGTGACCAGGCGAGCGAGCCTAGACAAGTTCCTATCCTTCCTATCCACATCTATGGCGCTGGTATCGAAATGTGAAAGGACGTCAGCGATGGTTTTCAAAAGGGGGTATAAGAATCTAGGACATACGTAGCAGATGCATCCACCGCGCGTGCCGCATTCATGCCTATTGATGCATCTACGGCCTGGGTGGCATCTTCCGGGCTAGCATCTGGTTAGCCTTATGCCTTGTCCGCAGCTGTTATATGCACGTTATCAATGAAACTTACGTCCCTGATGCCGAGTGACTCGGCCAGCTGAGGTGCGGAAAAGGTATCAACAACACCAGCAATGGCAGAGCTGGTGAGCAGAAGAGTAATGAACCAGTGAAGCTGCATGTTCGGAGACGAATTCGGGTATGATTGGTTATATAGTTGATTTCCTAGTCAACAGTTTGGCGGATAAATGGAATGCTTGGAAATGAACTCCTGCATCCTTGATTCCAACGGCCATGAAAGCTCTTTATATAGCATCTTGAGACGCTATTGAAGAGGTATCGAATGCATGAGATCTGAATTTGAAAGCAAAGTTACACTGTTTCTGTGTGTTTCCGTGGAAAACCTCATGGTTGTAGATGGTAGAACAGAGTCACCTTCATGATCTTTGTTCTGTGGTATGTATTGGGTATAATAGTAATGAACCGCAAGATCCGGGTGGGATATGAGCATCCCATCCATTGAATTTGGCTGCTCTCTTTCTTGAAGGCGGACCTCATGGCATTCTCCACGGTCTGCTGGCACCGTAGTCAGATATTTGAACAGTCCCGGAAACAGCCAGACTGGCCCAATCCCACTGTATTGGATTTCCCCAGCAGCAAGACGAGAAATGCTGGTGCAACATCCGCCTGAGTGGCAATGCCATCGCAGGGATACCTCAGGTAGTTATCCCCCAAGTATCTCATCTCAGCGCTGGAAAATCCGGCAGCGAGGACCAAACCAGCATCCGGCCGAGGGCAAAGGACGATAACCAGCGGCCGCTCGAACCCCCCAGCCAGTCCTGCCCAGCAGCCACTCTTGATCCTTGCCGGCTATCGTATTTTCGTCCCTTTGTCTGCTGACGAGCTGGCGGTGTGGGCGACAGCCGGCTAACCGTCGCTGTCTCCCGGTGGTGCTTGTCCGCACAGTTGGTTACCGACATATAAAAAACAGCGTCCTACTCTGTCTTCATCCCAGTCACCGTGAGACTCCGTCCTGATAACGTCGTGCAGACCAAGGCAGACACGCAAGAGCCCGCCTGTATATCGCGATCAAACCCGGCGTTAACGAGAGTCGACTGCGGGCTTACTAGCTGGTTGGTGAGCTGGCGATGGCGCTTGTCCCCCCACCGGCGGCGGCTGAATTAGCGATAGCCCCTACAGACCCGCCGGCTGTTTCGACATGCTCGACGCCGAGAGCTCGATACGATGAGGCTGCGGCCGATGGGAAGTCTGACAGTGACGTCGAGGACCGCTTCGACGGCGCAGGAAGGGCTGCGGATGGGCCAGGCAGCAATGGTGACGCTGAGGGCCGGTATTCGAGACGCCGGCCCAACGACGATGGCATCTACTACCCCGAAGGCGGCTTCAAGGCGTGGATGGTCGTCGTGGGATCTTGCTTTGGCACTGCCGTTACTCTGGGGATGATGTGAGTTGATACCAGCATGCTAGTTAACTAACTACGTGTCACATCGCTTTGCTGCTCGTTTGCTTGTTTGTGTTTGACCAGCTTGCTCACGACGGGTACAGGAACACAGTCGGTACAATTCAGGCCTATGTCCGCGAGCACCAGCTCAAGGAGTATGACGAGGGTACAACCGGATGGATATTCAGTACCTTCATCTTCCTTGGTTTCTTCGGCGGCGTCCAGGTTGGGCCAGTGTTTGACGCCCATGGCCCCAGGATGCTGATACTCGCCGGCAGCGTCTGTCTGGGTGCCAGCATGCTGCTGCTCGGACTGTGTACGCAGTACTGGCATTTCATGCTCTGCTTCGGCATCCTTGGTGGGACGGGAGCCTCCCTGATCTTCACGCCTGCTCTATCAGCCATCAGCCACTGGTTCAACGAGAAGAGGGCAACGGCTACTGGGATTGCTGCGGCGGGCGGCTCAGTCGGCGGGATTGTTTTCCCTCTCGCCTTGCAGAAGCTATATACAGTGGTCTCGTTTGCATGGGCTACAAGAATCGTTGGATTCGTCGTGATATTTTGCTGTGCCGTGGCGGTCATACTGGTGCGTTCACGTCTGCCCCCAAAGCCCGGACAGACGGTTATACCCAGCCTACGCATCCTACGCAACCCGGCATATCTATCTGTCACTCTGGGGACATATTTCATGGAATGGGCTCTCTTTGTCCCAATTGCGTATATCACCGCATTTGCCCTGTCGACGGGTGCCATGTCCACCGCGTTCTCCTACCAGCTAATAGCTATAATGAATGCGGGATCCAGCATTGGCCGAGCGCTACCTGGATACGTGGCTGACAAGCTTGGTCGTTTCAACAACATGATTGCTGCTCTTGTTATCTGCACAGCCATGACCATTACTCTATGGCTGCCTGCCTCGCTCCTTACCACAACTCCTTCCTCAGCACCGACAATCAAAGCATTGTCCATTGTGTTTGCTTTGATATTTGGCTTTGCTTCTGGGTCCAATGTCTCCTTAGCTCCGGTGTGCGTGGGCCAGCTGTGTGACACGAATGAATATGGGAGATACTATGCAACATGTTATACGATCGTCTCTTTCGGCACCCTCACAGGCATTCCGATTGCGGGGAGTCTTCTCCAGCATACTGGCGGACGATACTGGGGAGTTGTTTTATGGACCACTCTTTGCTACGTTATTTCTTTAGCCTGCTTCATCTGGGGCCGAGCTTGCTGCGTCGGATGGAAACTGGGGGTTAAGTTTTAGAGTGCTTTTTTCCTGAATAGAACCGCTATCTAGATAGGCAGGCAGCGAGTTTCTCGAAGCTTGAGGGGGAGAGGGGGATAGTTCATATTATTGCTGCATATATATTAATGGCGGGATAAAGGCTGTGCTAGTTGTATATATGTAAAAAAGACATACTGGCGCTGTGTTTGTTAGTTCCTCTCTTCCGCTTCGTGTAGCACAGCATGAGACCCTGGTAGCCAGCGGACTAGTCAGTCACACCGGCCAGTAACTAATGGCCACATCGTGTACTAAACGAGTCATTCAATATCAGAAAGCACAACACCCTCACTGCACATGGCGACAAGATAATGTCCTCGACTTCTTCAATGTCTTCTCCATCCTCTCCTGCTTCCACACTCTCTCCTCGAGCCGCTTCGGAAGAAGAGCGTCCGGTGGAGAAAATCCGGCCCGGAGCTGCGGCCCGCCGGGGCTCCATAACCATAACTGTAAATCCAAGTGGACTCGCTCCATCGGGCATTAAAACTAGCAGGACAAAAAGGACATCTACGATTCGGCTATTGTTACAGAGACTCCTTACTAGCAAAGTATGGCCGTTGTAATTATATGTTTGTTATATATTGCATATGTACAGTCGTAGCTCATGTGGGTATCTTTACATCGACACAATCCTCTCCTGGCTCTCTGTTCTCCCATCCGTTCTGGTATGGCTATGGTCTGCATCGGACCGGACAGCCCCCATGGAAAGGGTGTCATTGTGAGTAACCGAGTGTGAGGGCCTCCCATCCAGGGTGGTCAAAGTAGGGGCCGATCTGCTGAATCTGTAGTCTTTTATTCGGTGCGGAAAGTGCTCAATGCTGTGAGACAACGTCTCAAAGGCAGACCGGGACCTTGGAAATATCAAGAAAAATGACTGGCGGAGCATGGGCAAACAAGCAACAATGATGCCTGTATTAAGCTCAATCGCACTCCATACCGAGATAAGGGCAACGCTCCCTGTGTAACCATTAACCATCAGATACGCTATGAGGTGGATTATAGTGGTACAAGTGAACTCACATAATGGGTCATGGTTGTCAGAGGTCCCAAAGATAGTTGTAGTTCGAATAATGCTGACTATGCAGCAGCTGAAGAGCATGAAAAGTTAGCATACCACGACAAGAGAGCGGGTAGATTCGTGTCTTTAACTCACAATAGGCCAAGGGAAAAGATGAAGATAACCAGTATTTTATCCCTTTTGTTGGATAAGAGTATAATGGATTCTCGGATTGGAAGCGCAAGGATGAAGAAATCAGTGATAACGTTTAATAGTGCATATGAGACTCTCCACTCGGCATTCTCAATGCATTTGTGTGGGACTGCGCGGTTCCAATATGCATATATGGGCTTGCATTGGAACACGGTTGGAAATGTAAAAGCGATGCCAGCCGCGGCGGTTATTGCCATGAGCGCATAGCAGGTCCATACAAACAGCTTCTGGACGTAAAATATCCGTACGAATAGAAGGAGGAATGATATTTTGATAAGAGATAGCGATATCTTGTATGATATTTGTAGGACGTACAAGTACTATATTGACCAAGCAGGATTAGTGAGCATCGATCGAGTCCAAGATTGAATAGTGCCAGCCAGAGGGAACAACCGGGCCAGCTTACCTTTAATGTTAGCACTTTGTCCGCTGGAGAAACATCCCAGGTGTGTTTTCCTAGGCCATGTTCCACGCCTAAGATTGAAGTTTGGTGATTAGCAGCTTTGATCCGGGACGTCTCTTGGATAGTTGCCACTTACAAGTTATCTGTAGGGCAGTGTAGAGAAGCGCGAGGACCTTATATCTCCGTTAAAATAAACAAAAAAAAAAAAAAATCGTAAAATTGCGCGCAGGTCAGGAGTCTTCATACAAACGCAGCCAGTATTGTCCAGTCGTCTGCGCCGATGGAGCGCTTCAGGTATCTCCCAACGAAACGGATGACAACGAGGATGCCTGCGATGACAGCCATGACTAGACATAGTATCGACAGCTTCACTGCCCGCTGTGAGCCATCTGCCATCGGGTTGCTGGGCACCGCTATGCTTCTGTAGAGAAGAGCCGCCATCGCACTTGGCTCGGTGGAGAGCGCAAATCGCAGACAGCAAGATCAGCTCCTAAAAGCCACGAGCAACTATCCCACGCCTGTCAAAAGCCGCTCATGGGGGATCGTTGTTCTCCACGCAAAAAGATGATTCTTGTCCACACCCGCCTGCAGCGAAACCGTTTCGTGTCACGACATGAGTCCAAGTAGGAAGAAACTTCGGAAACGGCTCGTTGCTCCAATCAAGCTAACTGCTCTAGAACGGCAGATAACTAATGGCCAAAAAAAACTAGACGAGGAGGAAGAGGAGGCTTCTGTCAGTGCGCCGGAGAGAGCTCGTCCAACAGGTAGAGTGTTTTTTCTGGCTGCAGCCAGCACGTCTCTGAGCTCCCCGGAAGAAGCTGATTATGATATGATATGGAAATCCCACAAATATGTTAGCCAACCAAGTGTGTAACTCCCTGCGATGCGGGCGAGGATCATCACCAGATTCCATCAACCGCAGCACCTAAAATAGCTGCCAGGTTGATTCCAAGTAGCGAGCGGGTCCTCCGTAGATATCTTCGCAACTCTAGGGCCGGTGTCTGACCACAGGAATCGAGCTGGTTGACAGAGCGATCGCCCGTATCAAGACATCTTCTTCATCTCTGGATCATGATGTGTTTCGAGTCCAAGCGAGCTAGTCGAGCCCTTGCAGGGGGTGAAGGATTTTTTTACCTAACTCTCTCTCGGGATTGTCGTAACACTGCGTCCGTATCAAGAGACGGCAGCACCCAAACCAGCATAACATTTGGTTTAGTGAGCTGCTAACAACCTTAAATCGCCATCCAGCCAGCGTTTAAATGTGAGCGATCCTTCAGATCCGAAGACAGCGGAACTGCGAGCGCGGTCTTCCCGTGCGGAGGCTGCCCGGGTCAAGGCCTGGATCGAGCATTAGCCTGGCACTCGAGTATATTCGTTTTGCTCGCGAGCAGCGGCCGGAATGGTGTGAAGGGCTGGCAGACGGTGCTCTTCGCCTCGAGGGAGGAGTGGCATCAAGGCCCAGCCAGTCCAAGTAGATGAAGCCTGCACGCCACCCAGAGGCTACTGGGAAGAACTCGTAATGAGGTTTGGTGCATTCGTTAGCTGCGTTGGCTAGCTGCTGGGGGGGGGGGTCTCCCTCCCCCAGAGACGGGCCATCTTATTCCATGCGGATGCCCACAATAATCATGTCCCCCTTTTCGCCAGGATTGAAGCCTCTCTGGCCTTCGGAGTCCGAACAAGCGCATGGCGTTGACTGGAGGAAGTGGGCTGTTGGACAAAACTCCATCGTTGGGACCCTCCCCTCGCCCCCCTCCCTTGCTAGCTTGCTAAGGTGTTCTGTATGACATGATTAATTGTAGGAAGCGGAGAATGGGATGCAGGATAACTAACTGCCCAATACAAGTCTCCTCCCTTTTGCAGGGCGTTGAAACAGGTTGCCGTGAATATCACTTCCCGGGGGGGTGTTCATCCTCTGAACACTGCCTGTACATAAGAAGCTGCTCCCCCCCCCCCCTGCTGCTGCTCGCGAGATCCATGCTGCTGATTGCCAGTCAGCCAGCCAGCGAGCCAGAAAAGAAACGAGACGCAGAAGATGGCTTCACGACCGAATTTCCTTGTGATTGTCGCCGATGACCTGGGCTTCTCGGATGCAGGCTGCTTCGGCGGCGAGATCAAGACACCTCACATCGACAGCATCGCCAGCAATGGAGGAGTGCGATTCACAGACTTCCACGCAGCGGCCGCCTGCTCGCCCACGCGCTCGATGCTGCTCTCTGGCACTGATAACCGTAAATAATATGCTGAACCCCTGAACCATTCGCTCCGTATATGCAATGGTGACCCCTAGTGGGAAAAAACAAGACTGACAAGCAGCCCGCGCGCCCATCAATCGTGTAGACATCGCCGGCCTGGGGACGATGAACGAGAATCAGACCGAGTTCCAGCGCGGCAAGCCTGGGTATGAAGGCTACTTGAACGACCGAGTCGTCGCCCTGTCGGAGCTCTTGCGGGATGCAGGCTACCAAACCCTGATGTCTGGTAAATGGCACCTGGGGCTGGATCCAGATCACACGCCTCATGCACGCGGCTTCGATCGATCATATTCTCTGCTTCCAGTATGGCTGCTCTGCTTTTCTTTTCTTTTCTTGCATTATTTTTTGCGTTTAGCGGGCGTTTTGACTCGGCCGCCGTCAGCCTCGTTTCGTTTAACTAATGCATGGAGTTCTTCTTTTTGATATCGGTTGCAGGGAGCAGCAAACCACTATGGCTGGGAACCGCAGCTCCAGAATCCAGACGAGAAAGCTCCCGGCTTGATGTCGCATATGCCGAGCATCTATGTAGAAGACGATAGGCGTATCGACCCCAGTGAGCTCGGGGAGAACTTCTACTCCAGCGTTGCTTTTACGGACAAGATGCTCGAGTATCTCAGGGGTAAGGACGCAGAGAAACCCTTCTTTGCCTACCTCCCTTACTCGGCGCCGCACTGGCCCTTACAGGCTCCCCGGAAAGATATCGACGACTACCGGGGCGTCTACGATGAGGGGCCGGAAGCTCTTCGCCAGAAACGCCTTCGCAAGCTTGAGGAGCTTGGCTTGATACCAGCGGGAACCGCGCCTCACGACGTGGTCGTCATGGGCAATCGCATGATGTCCAGGTTCTGGCACGACCTGACCCCTGAGGAGCGCCGGTTCTCGTCTCGATGTATGGAAGTGTACGCGGCCATGGTCCAGTGTATGGACACCCAGATCGGCCGCGTCCTCGACCAGCTCCGCCAGTCCGGAGACATGGAAAATACCCTCGTCATCTTCATGTCTGACAATGGCGCGGAGGGAGCGCTTCTGGAGGCCCTGCCGGTCGTGCAGAACAATATATTCGAGCACATAGACCAGTACTACGACAACTCCATCGAGAACCTGGGGGCCTACAACTCCTTTATCTGGTACGGTCCTCACTGGGCGTCTGCAGCCACTGCTCCGTCCCGGCTGTATAAGATGTTCACTAGCGAGGGCGGCATACGGGTTCCCCTTATCCTCAACTACCCTCCTCTCACGGCTGGGAAGGCCGGTATAGACCATACCTTTGGCACTGTCATGGATATTGCACCTACACTTCTTGAGCTTGCGGGTATCAAACACCCTGCCCCGTCTTACAGATCCAGGCCCGTCTACCCCATGCGAGGATCATCGTGGCTACCGTATCTTAAGGGAGAACGGACATAGATACATGATGAGGACCATGTTACTAGCTGGGAGCTCTTTGGCCGCCAGGCGGTGCGCCAGGGAGACTGGAAGGCATTGCATATCCCGAAGCCCGTTGGGCCTGGGAAATGGCAGCTGTACAATCTGAGTGAGGATCCGGGCGAGACAAAGGACCTGGGAGAGCTTTTCCCGGACAAGCTGGCTGCCCTCATTGCTGAATGGAAAAAGTATGAAAAGGACGTAGGCGTCGTTGGAGCCATGCAATATGGAGTGCTGGGTGTAGACGACCAGGATGTAATCCAACAGTGGTGATGCCATATACATCGACCGTCATTCGCAATATATAACGTTGATATAGATGCATAGCAGTTATTTGGATATAAAAATTATTTAAATGGTTACTCTGCAATTATCGGGTCAATGTATGGTTGATTTAGTTAGTTTGTAGGGGAAAATAGCTAACTAAAGTATTCAAATTTCGACTCAGTGAGATCTTTTTTTTTTTTATTCAAGCATTTATTAAGAGAGACCATGCAAAGAAGACATACCCCAGCCGTCATCATCCATACGGTAGATGCCCGAGACTGAGGTCCCCAGGCTAAACATGAAGCTGTCGATTTTCCCGTTCCTGACTAGCGATGAGTTCTCGCAGGCCTGTCGGGAATTCATACGCTTGGTGGACGGCTGTGATGGCCAGTTGGAGCCCCTTGGATGGACAAAGGCCAGATTCGATGAAACCGTATGCGTGCTCATCTCGCTACCTGGGCTTGTCTCGTATATGGACAGAAGCGTTCGTACCTCTGAAACCAGCTAACGAGGATATAGGGTGCTGAACCTGTTTTGGTGGTGAGGAAATATACGGACCGCGACAGCCAGCCTACAGAGTCTACAGAGACGGAACCAGGCGTTGGCGAGAAAAATGCCAATATTAAAGACGAAGAAGAAGATATAGAAGAGAAAGAAGATGACCCTGTTCGACAAATCCTCTGTATTCAACAACCGAGTCTGATTACGTCTATTCTAACCTTTTGATATGCAGGATGCTTTGGTTCGACAGCCAGTTTCTACTCGCAAAAGTGAAGTAGAGTATCATGTTATGCTATCTCAAACATATCGGGTCCCTGTGCTATACTTCTTCTTGCCAGGGGGCCCACCGTGTGGACCGAAAGAGCTTCACAATATGTACAACTCGCTAGTTCCAACACAGTTCAGGTCTGAGTTGAGAGACGTAGGAGTCATGGGGGGCGTAAGCATCACTGTGAGTCAATATCCTATGCTTCCTCGAAAATTTGGCTTTCTCGCCTTGAAAGGTCAAAGGCTCATCAAAAAACTAATGATCAGAACCACCCTCTAACCGGAATACCGGTATATTTTGTCCACCCATGTGCTACCAGCGAGGCGCTAAAGAGTGTAGCGGGAGACAAGGAGCAGACGACTGAGACATATCTGCTATTATGGATAGGGTTGGTAGGAAATTGTGTCGGGCTAAACGTTCCGCTGGAAGTTGTTGCACAGGCAGGGAATTCATAACGGACGCGCGGAGGTGGTTGCTGCTTTTTGATTAGTTACCCTGTCTTTTTTTGTTTATTTTTGCCGAGCTGCAGATCTCTGCACTGAGCATTTGGTTCTTGATAGACCATGTCGTTGCAACAAATTCATGGCTGATTAATCCTCATCGGAAGATGCTTCCATAGACACGTCACTTTCCTCGTCCATAGGTGCTTCGCCATCACTTTCCTCCTCCCGTGTTCGTTTCACACCCTGTGGTGGTGCTGGCTCGGCAGCCTCGCCATTGGCCGGTTTAGGTGGTATGGAAGTGGTAGCAGTGGCCGCGGAAGGCGGAGCATTGAAAATAGATTTCTGAAGCTCCGTTGATATTCCCTGGTCTTCGTTCGGGCCTGATGGATTGTAAGTGCCCCGCAACTTGGCAATTATATCTGAGTTTCCTTTGGCATAAACAATTTTCTAAAAGAGAAGTTAGCCAGATAGATAACCTTTTTGAAAATTGTCATATGTTGTTTTAACAGGCCAATTGTAAAATGCATACCATTTCTTTTCCAAAGAAATCGAAGCCTTGGAGCGCCCTCATCGCCTGTGTGCTCGTTTGAACGTCCCTAAACACAATGTGTGCTTGGCCGCGCATACCCTTCGATCTCATGGCTACCACATCGAGAACCGCGCCGTAGGTAGAGAAAAGGGTGTAGAGAGCGGTCCTCAGATCGGGTTTCTTAATCTTATCGGGGAGGTTTGTGCAGTACAGCCTTTGTTAAAGTCAGTTCTCTACATCATCACAATAGATAGGGACCTGGGGTTTGCTTTGCTCCCAACTCACGTCTGATTTGGCGCGCCAACATTGGTAGGGGCGGTGTTCGAAGCCATTGTCAAAGATTAGCAGCCGGAATAGCAGCTTCTCTTCCAATCTGCGTATCTATGTAGAATCAACGCGAGTATCTGTGTTCGACCGGTGTTGTTGCTCCCAAAATCCAGCAGTTTAACATGTCGGTTTTTCGCTTTGGAGCTTCTTCGAAGCTGTGTGGATGAGAGAGGGTCACGTGAGTATAATATTACATAATCCGCATAGTTACGAGTTTCGCGGGGGCTTTTTGGGATAAGAAACAACAACGATAGAGGCGACGACGACGACGACGACGACGACAAGGAGAAACGGTTGTTGTAGCTGCTATTGTATGGGCTGATTGAAGAGAATAAGGCGATAGTAGAGAGCTCCTCCTATCGCATTTTGTCTAGACGCTATGGCACCCCCCGAAGCCCACCACCTTTTCCACCGGCCGATTGCGGACCACTCGTTCTCGTCGGACAGAGGCACTCTCGCAGTGGCCAAGGACAATGTTGTCGAGCTCTACGAGACGGCAGGCAATAAGTACACCTTGAAAGAGGAGCTTAAAGGCCACGACAAAACCGTTACCAGTGTAGACGTTGCTCCCAAGAGCGGGCAGATCGTGACCTGTTCCCAAGGTATGGATGTAACCTCTGTTGGAGAAGCAGCTGCTGAACTACGGATGCAATGATACAGACAGAAATGCCTATGTATGGGAACAAACCGGCTCTGGATGGAAACCTACGCTCGTGCTGCTTCGAATTAACCGTGCCGCCACTTTTGTCCGCTGGTCCCCCTCCGAGCAGAAGTTCGCTGTTGGATCAGGCGCCCGCGTTGTTGCAGTGTGTTACTTTGAAGAGGAGAATGACTGGTGGATTTCTAAACACCTGAAGAAGCCGATTCGAAGTACCATCACTACCCTTGCATGGCACCCCAACTCCGTCTTCCTCGCAACCGGCTCGACAGACTCGCACTGCAGAGTGCTTTCTAGTTACATCAAGGGAATTGACCAGCGCCCGGAACCCAGTGTTTGGGGTGAGAGGGTTCCCTTCAACACCAACTGTGGAGAATACTTGAACGATTCTGCTGGATGGGTCCATGGCTGTGCCTTTTCCCCGAGTGGTGATGCTTTGGCATTTACTTGTCATGACAGCAGCGTTACTGTGGTGTACCCATCTGCCCCGGATCAGCCTCCCCGTGCCATGTTGAACATTAGTACGAGATTGCTGCCATTCATGAGCTTGGTTTGGATTAGTGAGAACGAGATAGCCGCAGCTGGCCATGTAAGAGGCTCTCTTTTATGTTTCATTTAACCTTAATGCTGATGCTGATGATTTTAACGACAGGATTGCCAAATTTATCGTCTCAACGGAGATGAAGCCGGCTGGAAGCTGGCTGGATCTCTCGAGGTTAAAGCGGCCACTAGAGGTGCTGTTGCCGAAGAGTCCGCGCTCAACAAATTCAGGCAAATGGATTTGAAGGGCAGCACCAAGGATGACTCTAAACTCCAGAGTGTTCACCAGAACACAATCTCAACTCTTAGGGTCTACTCTGAGGACGGTGGTACTGTTAAGAAGATCAGCTGTAAGTTTACTACCCCTCGTCCTACCTTTCGTGTCTGCAACTACTAACTGTGACTACAGCTAGCGGTGTCGATGGTAGAGTTGTTATTTGGGATGTGTAATGCTCGATACCATGTTGACATATCTAGAATACCTTCTTGCTAGGTAGAGTGACAAAGATGACGATACATATTCGTTAGCAGGTATTTTAACCAAAAAATCGGAACGTCGAGTCTGTAGAAATAAAGTAGAATTTAAGTTAAGGTTGGATGCGGCTCCGTGATTAGATCAGCTGATGACATCAGAGTGACTTTTCTCTTTCCGTCTCAACTTCGTCGCGCTCGCTTTTCCTCTTTCTCCGTGGCGTGATCATAAAAACCCAAAGAGGCATCACGCTGACGGGCGTTGCACGTATAAAATAGCATGCTCCCTGTGATGAATTTTGTCCTTTTCCTTCTCAACTCTCTATCCTTGACTCCATAACCATAGTTAGCCATGGCTCGTGTCAGCATTCTCCTCTTAGGTGCTGCGATACTGCACTCGCTTCTACCTACAGCGACCACGGCTGGTCGGGTTGCGCAAGATGATGAGGGCTATAGTGTGCCGTACTTTGAGAATACCGGACGCCAAGTGTCACAGCCTCTATTTGAGGAACTTAACGAGCTCGCTAATATCGTCGATATAGCGTACTGTGTTGGGAACTGGGGCATGACCAAACCGTTTAGCTGTCCGGGCCTGTGCGAGCAGTTCCCCAACTTTGAGCTAGTGAAGGTAAGTATCTTCTCTTTTTTTGTAAAAAATAATGTCGTATACACCTGGAGAATGGTAGTGATGTGAATCATACTGACTTTACTGTGCAGACCTGGAACACAGGCCCTCTGCTCTCCGATTCTTGCGGGTACATTGCTCTTTCCCACCCTCCGTCAGCGAAGAGAATCATAGTATCGTTCCGAGGAACTTATTCTATCGTAAACGCCATAGCGGATCTCTCTGTTGCTCCACAGGTTTACGTGCCTTATCCAAACGGAAAGGAGCACCCCTATGCAAAATGCGATAACTGTACCGCACATGGTGGTTTCATGCGTTCATGGGAGAATACGCGACCGGAGATAATACCCGATCTTATAGAGGCTATGATGAAGTACCCGGATTACCAACTAGTTGTCACAGGCCACTCACTTGGTGGTGCCGTGGCCGCTTTGGGGAGCCTTGAGTTCAAGTTGCGAGGCTGGAATCCTCATGTAACCACATTTGGTGAGCCCCGAATAGGGAACCAGGCACTGGCGGATTATTTCGATAAGGTGTTCGGCCTTAACTCGACGGCCCCTTCGAATGCAGGCCTCGGGTATGACCTTCATCTCCCATACCGCCGCGTAACCCATACCAATGATCCTGTTCCCCTCCTTCCTCCACCTAGTTTGGATTATCGTATGCATTCGGGTGAAATTTTCATCACCAAGGTCGATGTTCCTCCGGCTATCACTGATCTGCGTGTCTGTTATGGGCCCACTGACCCAACTTGTATCAGTGAGGAAGAGCAAGAGTATGTCCGTAAGTTACAGGATGCACTACCGTGGATGCCATCCGGTATGCCTGATAATGATCAGAGCCCACTTGACCCCGAAAACGCAGACTCTGAGGTTGATACTGAGATGGTCAAACCGTGGGAACTTTTCTTTGCCCACCGTGATTACTTCCATCGAGTAGGTATATGTTTTCCAAATATCTTTGGCTCTCCCGACAAAAGTGATAAGAATAAGAAATCACCTTGGTGGAAATTCAAATGGCTTTTCCCTGGCCATGACAATCTGTGAATGAAATTATGTCGGGATATTTTTGGATATTTAGGAGTTTCAAGATACCCCATGGTTTTCTTTTCTTTCTTTTTTTTTTTTTTTTTTTTTTTGGAGTCAGAATTGTTTCTATATTATATACCCAGGCATTCCTTCGCTGTTCGAGTACAAGTCTAGTTTCATCGTCACTCATTTTCATTTCGTTTAAACTGCTTAGGTGAGGCATAGTTCTAGAATATACATCAAAGGCTCATTTCAATACCGATTAGAAAACCCAGATGCAAAATTAATCTGCAACAAACAGAAAAGGAATAAGGCGTTACATCGCTAGAAAAGCAAACATGACAGACGCTTAGCAAGAAAGATAAATATATCAAAGAAGATCGCCAGCAAAATCAACTTGGTATATGAATATATGAATGGTCCCTCCCGCAGTTCTCAAAATAAGGTACTTTGCATAATTACCTGCCCAGTTCCAAGCTAGGAACGATAACAGGGCCAAATTTAACCACATTGCCAAACGAACCTTCTCCCTGTACCAAAAAGTCTACTGCAAGGCTCAATTTCGGAAACGAGCCAGTGGCAGAGTTGTTCGGTGGGTACATGGGGGATTGCATACCACTGTATGCGGCTTGAACTGCATCAGGGTCATATCCAACGATTGCAACGTAGTTTCTTCTGCCCATAAGCTTTCGGTGTTCTCTTGGTTGACCAGAAACATCAGTTTGGAAAAGTTCCATCATGTCCTCCTTTGTATCTGAGACTTGGGCGGTGACTGATCGCTGGCCGTTTGTGGGTATGTAGAGAGGTTTGTTATTTCCATGGAGTAGTTTAAGAATGTATGAGGGGGGAGGAGCATTGACTACTGCAGAAGAAATGATTTGGTACATTGTTTTGTGATCTGTTGGGTGTGAAGGGTCGTGAACGAGTCCAGCTCCGCAGCAGTTTACTGCACCAGAGAGGAATGTCATTCTAATACTTCGTTGGTGTGCAATTCCTTGGAGGGTGCGGATAAGATATGTTCTCTCCAGGTCCTGATGAGCAATTGTGTGAGCCATGGTACGGAAAATAATAATAATAATAATAATAATAGATATAAGGATGAGCAATCGCTTACCTTCGATTCATGGGTCCATTGGTCTTTCAGCTCATCGAAAATATCAATTTCACCAAACGGACTCAGCACACTGCCCATTAAGCCAGATTTTCCCACAGCTCGTTTAACCGAGTCAAATCCTGAGCCCACCGCACTCTTAGCACCGACAACACCAGCAACAGAGCTCGTGACTCTTCCAAGCATGTTGTAAGCTCCAGTCACAGCCTTTTTGCCGGTAGCAACAGTCTGGACGAAATGTTCTGCGGATTCTAGGCGCGGGTAAACCAGAGGTACTGAAAC